CTGAGATTATTAACCTTTTCAGTCAATACTTAGTTAATTTCACGTACTTGCCTTTATATGTCTGAATGTCACATACTACATTTAACTTTTTATTACTAATCCTGAAAACGGATACTATGTAAAAAAAATTGTAACTGTTAATAGAATACATGATATTTACCGGTAACTTATTTACAACGATCAAATCCACTCCTACTATAATTGTTAAAACGTACATGAAGCGATCCAGAATATTTCGTGATACTGTAGTGAACGAGAACTCAAGTGGGGACAACCAACTTATAGTTCAGTGCAAAGTTACAGAATATCTTGGTAAAATATCAGAACCACACATTAAATGCTTCATTTGAAAATCCTCTATGAACTGTCTTAAATTTTACTGTTCCTGTCCTCTTCGATACCATCTTACCAACCTTATACTGTCAGCCATTCAACTTTTGATTGATGTTACATACTACTTATATCTGTCGACATAAGTAGCACACACCACAGTAATAATTTGGGCCCAGTTTTTCATCCACTGAGGATGAAAGTAATTTTCAAAACACTTCTGATTTAGTTTTATGTGAAACTTTTAACATATTCAAGTGTTTTTGGTGATGCGAAATCTGAGGAGTTATGATAAATTCACATGGTAAAGTTTACTATAAAATCAGGTCATTATTTTCTAAAGATTTAAAATTCATGAAATAGTGATACGTAGCTGTGGCGTTTGTATGAACTTATGATTCTTTAGTACTTGATGAGTGCCCGATTTCAAACTTCAACTTTAATACGTTTGTTTGTGCTCACCTTGTTCTCTCTCACTTAAACTGAGTTATTTCGGGGATTCCTAATTAATATAATTATTCGAATACTTTTAAATATCACAGTAACACAAAAGAATTTAGCTCATTATGAAGCCATTAAAGTAAATTATATCATTTATTGATAATCTAGAATAACATGAAGTAATAGGTGGAATTTTACTGTACAAACACACTTAAATTGTTCAAAGAATAAAATTCGAAACATAAGTTTAAACTAATTTGTGTTTAATAGGCTAAGATAGTTGAACATTTCAAGCAAACATACTACAACAGCAATTAGTTACGATCGTGGCTCTGGTCATACTGATAATAATAAATATTAGAAAAGTTAAGAATAACATTAAGAGGCTCTTCTCGAAAAGTTTCTGTTATCACTGAAACAATACACTTTCAGGTAAAAAAGTGTGTCACTTTAAGAAGTGCCACACTAACCATACAAATCAGTTATGTTCCATTATAAATACAACAATTAACAATTTCATTTAACGAGTTTGTGTAGATTACGTATCTCAACTTATATAATTTTACTCAAATGATAGTTTCTAATCCTTATATTTGTTATTTTTTCAAAATCTTTGTTTCCCTTTAACCGCTAGAATGATTCCAAAATAATTTAGTTTCCCATGATCAATTATTTCGAATGAAATATCATTAAATGACCTTCCATGGTTCTTATGATTAACGAGAAAGTGTAAATAAACCAGATGTAACTCATCAGATAGTATCATTACGTTTTCTCGAATACAAAAATGTATATTATAGCTCAACTGAAGATTAGATATAACATGAAGGGTCGGACGCAGACGTAAAGGAGAGGATCGGCAAAGCAACGACCGCATTCCTAAATTTGAAAAACATATGGAACACAAAACAACTGTCAACAAATATCAAAGTCAGAATCTTCAATGAGAACGTCAAGACAGTTCTACTGTATAGAGTCGAATCTTGGTGAACTATTACAACTATCACCAAAAATGTACAAGTATTTATAAAGAATTGTCTACGTAAGATACTGAATGTCCGTTAGCCTGATACCGTCAGCAACAGCCCACTTTGGGAGAGAACAAACCAACTTCTAGCTGAGGAGGAAGTTAGTCAAACAGGAAATCATTGCACTGTAATACGAGGCAAGTTCTGACTAGGAATCTTGAAGAGGAAGTCTAAAGAACACACTACGTCAGGAAATGGAAGCAGATATGACAAGAATGAATAACAACTGGAAAGAACTGGAAAGCATTGTTACGTCCAAGTTTTGCTCGTTCCAGTTATTGAAGTACGAACTATCGATCTACTTGCAAATTACGAACCCAAATTGACAACAGAACCAAAACTCCAATTCAGATACCAAATTTGTTTGCGATTCACAAATAGTCAACCAAACGTCTTTCTAACAAAAATAATTATAACAATTACAAAACAAATCTTCAATTTTGTAGGATCCCGGAGCAAAACTACCAAATACCAAACCAACGACAAAGGGAAACTAAAATGTCCGAAATAATGATATAAGCAAACAAGTTCAAAAGTTAAGTAAAACGAATACATCCAAAAACACAGTAAATTATTAATATACAATAAAAAGGTTTTAATCCGTCAAATGTCTTCAGTTCTCCTGTAATAGAATTGCCCAGAACAGTGTCGGGTGGACGGTCTATGCTCCTTCACGATGTGTAAGTAAGAGGAATAGAGATAGATTTGTTGAACTATGAAATTTAATCATAGGAATGAATTAAACTTACAGATGTGATCTATTTTCTATGGATTCATATTAGAATTATTTATGGTAGACTTTTTACCTTTCATAAGAATCACTGAATATAATAGAATTTTATTTAGTGTAAATTCATTTGTTCTAGTTTAGTATGCCTAATCACAGTGATTTGTACATTAGAATCGATTACATCTTGATGATACAAAACAAGAGAAAGAATTAAGCTTCTGATATTTTTCCTAATAAATAAGATAATTTATCGAGATTTAGATGGTGGTTGGACTACCTCCAATACATAGTGCCCGCAGTGTCGAGTCACCTAGACTGTTGGCCACATTGCAACATGATCGATAGCATTCGATCTGCACTAATAAGGACTAGACAAGCATGACATTGATCACCACCCAGTGATCAATCAATTGTGAAGATAATTTATCATTATACTGATTATTACATAAAAAGACAGTTTCTACAGGAATTCGTAGAATCTTCAAGAAACTGTGTTTGTGCACATTTTTAATTTACTTTCGTTGAAACAATCTGTTAGCGGGACATAGACTAGATTAGAGCATGCTCAATGCATGATTGTTTTGGTGCACGCTGATTGGCTGATTTTTATCAAATCAGCACTAGTCGATAGTCGGAGAATACTCTGGAATCTTCTTATGTAAAAACTATAAATATACCGACGTTTTCCCCTATTGTGCTTCCTACTGGCTTCTGACTTGCTATTTGGAATATAATCTTTTTCCTGTTCAACCGTGTTCTGATTTGGGGACTTGTCGAGTGAATCGGTGTCCGAGAATACTAAGCAATAGGAATAGCTGGGTCATTAACCGTAAGAAGAAAAAGAGATTATAACACAATCAATACTTACTGTTTACTTAATAATAAGTCTGCAATCGCTGAAAATATGTAAAGCCATAAATCCTATAGTAATAATAATTATCTAATCGTTATAACCGACAATTCAAATAATCAACTTATTTTAATGATAAAATGATTTTGAGTTTTCAATAAAGATAATCTAGTTGTAAAAACTATATCCGTGATATTCGCATAATTTCTAACACAATGGATATATTGAGGCAATCCACATATGATGTACATATGCCAATCAAGATTAATCAACATTCAGTAGAGAATATCAACCACGTAATGATTCAAATTGCAATTTTTAATCTGTTTATAAGTTCTGTTTAAATGGTAAACACTAGTTCATAATAAAAGGAAATGCAATTGTTTGTTTCCGTTTAAGAACTTTTTCATTCTATTGAGGTAAATTATCAACCCTATCCAACATAACTAAATTCAAATTAATGTTGGTTACTTGAAATTGTGATATATAGACTTTATAAAAGTTCTTAATGTTTATTATCTAATAATTCGAGATAACTTAATAGCATAATTCATTTCACTTGTCTTGAGGCTACTAAAATCCATTCTTCCCCAAATCGTACGTTTTCTAAAGATAGATATTTAGAACGTTGATAAGTAAAATAACAGAGTAAAATGAAATTAAAACTCTATATACGTTGACAACGAAATCAACCCTAGTTTTTAAACTGACATTCTATGAATAAAATTATCCTGTATTACTCCCCAGTTACTTATGAAATAAATAACAATAAACCTGCAATATTTTGATTATAGTGCTTGTCGATTATATTTGAGTAATGTTCAATACAACCAATCAGTTCACAATACAAAATATAATGCTTCATTGGTTTAAAAAAATTGATAAATTATGCTTCATCATAACGTAAACACTTAGATGTCGGAAAAGCTGAACACTAGTTTCATATGTCTTTTAAGTATTAAGATTTGAATAATGCCTTTGTGAAAAGATAACAAATGAATTAACAAATTCGGAGAAAAACTATATATACGATTTCAACATTTAAAATTCACAACTATTAGGAAGTCGGTTTGACATAAGAATTGTTTTCTTCTCAAATAAATAATGTAGAGAAAAAATAGAGATTACCAAAATATTCCTGTATAAAAAGCCTAGTTGGTTTGAATTAATGAAACCTCAGTGAGTTTTAACCTTATAGAATCATATTAAAAATAAACTCTAGAATCCTTAGTTTATCAAAAACTGTGATGTATGGAGTGTCTAAAACAGAGTGACATGATTTTCAAATAAAATATTTGAAAAAAGGAGTTTCTCTCGAAATTTGCAGTACAAATAATCAAACGTTAATTTCTCGGTAAGTGGAAGGGTTTAATGAAAAACTGAAGTAAAAAGACGTATTAGAAAACTGCTTTCTAATCCCTGAACAAATTGTGTGACCTTCCACAAATAGATAAAAGACTGTCCAGAACGTTATAATGATTTAGAGGATTTCTACAAGGATCACATCAGTTGGAAAAACAATAGTCTGGACGGAACTCACTACAATGTTTGTGAACACTTAAATTGTACTGAAGACACAAAAACGTATTTACAGGAACATTAAAATAGTCAAATTACTCACCTTTGCGAACACTGATAAATGTGGATTCAGTTGCGACGATAGGAGTCCCATTTACATATTGAGTAGCAATGCATTTATACTCACCCTCATCACTTTTCTGAATGCCTCTTATATGAAAGTAGGCATCAGTGGCTATTAGATCACGATTATTAACCTCCCATTGGTAGTGTATGTAATCATTTTTGGAGCCACCGGTAGCATTACAATAGAATGCAACATTCTGCCCCTCATAGATTACCTGAATACGTTGTGAGTAAGTTTGGAGCAAAAATAATATGCATAGAAAGTTTGTTGCTCTATAGAGACCGAACATCCGTCAAACAGCCAAGTGTGTGATTTATTGAATATCCAGACAGGTTCATTGTAATAAACTGTTGCGTTTCGAGTTAAATTTGGATTACGAAATTATTTCTTAATCGCATCTTTATTTTCATACTTTAATGAAAATTTTCAACGGTGGATTCATTGTCATAGTTTTGTTTAAACGCATCAAATCATAAACATCAAAATGCGTAGTTTTTTAAATTTGTTGATTCACTGCGAAAATAACAGTAAGTTTCATTTGTTACCACTACCTAGGATGTTAGTTTGGAAAGTACAAAGTTTTATGAGTCGTGATTGTGACGGCCTGGAAACAAGTTTTCATACATAGAATTGTGTTTCAAAAAGGAGAAAAGGCCATACGTTTCAAAAGGCATATGAAAGTGACTGTACTGGCTTTTTTGAAGCAAAACTTACGACAGCTGATCATTTTAAAAACAATGACGTTTCAGTTTTTTTGGATGGAATCGATACCTTGCCTTAACTACAAAGTAAACTCGTTCACTCACAACACGAGTTCTTGTTAAAAGTGAAACACACAACTTTAAAGTGAGTCACTAATGTTTAATTATTGTTTTCTGTTGAAGCCCGCTAACCCTCGGCTACAAATGTAGGTAGACTCGTAAGTTTTGTATCCGTAGACTTTATTACAATCTAAGATATGGTCCAGCACATGGTATTTAAAGACCATTTCCTCTAAATAACCGACGTGAAGGTGAAAACACGATATTTCCCCTTTATTTCTCCTTTGTTCCCCTTTATTTCCACTTTTTTGGTAGCTTGAGTTGGAGGAACATCAGTCCTAAGTTTGTCCTCAGTAATAAGGACTGTAAGTTGGCGAACCTGTGTTAATTCTGACAGATTTCTTTCCAATAAATGTTCAGCTTTTACTCAAAAATATTAACTGATGGGCTGATACCACTTGTTTGGATAAGGGGTTCTAGTTATTGACTACTCGACGAGAAGAACGGGTCCTCTTTTTAGATTTATTAAATCGTGCTTTATGAACCTTCTTACCATGACCTCGGAGATTATTAGTGCTGGAGGGAGCAAAAAGATAAGACATTTTAACAACTAAACCATAATTAAAGATACGAAATCACAGTATAAAGTCATCTCGCGTCGTTGTACGCGATCATCGTAAGGGATTTTAGAAAGACCCTTCACTAATTTTGTTTCCATAGGCTGAACACGCTCAAGTGAGTTAGCATCCTTTATTAGACATAAACTAGCTGCTTGTACACAGTACTCTAAACGTAATCCTACATAGTTGGGATATAAAATTCGAAACATTTTTTCGCCAAAGCATCAGAATGCTCGGCGAAGTGACCATAACTCACGATAAGCTTTGGCAGCAGCTGCGCTGCAATGCGCAGTTGTTTTTTCAATTTATGACTTTTTATTACTCCTAAGTCTTTATGTTCCCGAACGCGTTGAAGAGATATACCGTCAATAGTATAATGGTAACTATTACCGTGTTCATGAGCACACTCTTCCTAGAATTAACTCTTAAACCCCAACCTCGAGCCCATCTAACTAATTCATCTAAGTCAGCTTGGAGATCAAAATGTTTAAGAATCAAATACAATCCAGGAGGGCGGTAGATGAGAACGGGAAGGAACAAATCATGCATTATCCACAAAATAATCGATGAGAAGTTGATTTCTTTAACGTACAGCCTTTGAACCTTTACCACTTATTTTTTTTATACGAGTGATCTAACCAGGACCCTAGGTTACCTTTCTTGTTGTTCGCTGACGCTATGAAGGATCATATACAATAACGGTGATAGAATTTGACCACACTTAAAATATGGAATTAAAGCACTAATCTCTTGTTTTACCGCTCGTGCATCACTAGTGTCACTTGTTGCCCGTATTATTACAAACCATCCATCTTTTTATACTTACTACTTCAGACAGGAAAATCAAATTGACCGTTATTTTCTTATAAACCTTTATATCTTACATGTTCACCTAACGCCATTCCTTAACATGTTTTTTTATGAAACTTTGGATAGTTTGTTAATGTACACTTCGCTACTCTGTGCACGCTATCTGGTCATGCTATATCATTGCAGAAGTGCCTAATTTTTCAAAAATAGTTACCCGGTAGATGTTTATAATCCTGCATGAACCTCCTTAGTTTTGGTCAACTTAGTAACTTAAAAGACGTACTCATTCACCAGCATCTCACGGTCCACATTTTATTTCTTCAAACCATTTCTAATTTGTGGATATAAGTCATCATGTACCCCCCTCCGAATTTCTGTCTTCATGCAAGCATATTATTTTGCAGAAGTCTCTATCTTTTCTCTTCCACCTCCGATCGGTTAATTGTTTACATAGTAAGATTATACAAATGAAGCAGAAGCATGGTTCAAGATGCTAGAATTTGATGGAATCAGCTTTATGAGTAATCCTACGCTGTTTGGACCATGATTCAGATCGCAAAGTCACTTAAATACAATGTCACTGGTAAGCTGAAGTCATGAGTTAAAAAAGTGTTCTGCAAAACAACACCATCAAACCGACACCTCACCTAGTGGCTTCATCAGAAAATGGATCCAGCAAATATGTCTAAGCTGAAACTTGTCTTATTAATCAGCACAGATAGTTCCTAAATTCTTGCAAAGTTACTCGTTTTTATAGTAGTCAAAGGTTTCAGAAATATTTGAATGCCATGTTGATCCACTCCAAAACATTTTTCATCGGTGTGTTTCAGCAATTAAATCAGTTATATGGTCACAGTTATTATTGAACTTAGGCTATTTCAGTTTTCTGTAGTATTAATAAAATTCTAGGCTACAGTGCAGTAAAGATTCTTACTTGCTTTATAGATATCACTAGGTGCTAATATTTTTTATCAGACTAATGGAATATGTCACTTCATATATTTATGACGGATAAGCGGCTAGATATATACAATTCGACTTCAGCTTGTAAATTCATATGTGATATATTCTTATTTAAAACGTTTTGCTGCAAACTGATAACCTGGATATATGGGCCTAAAAACATTACTCAGGGCAATGCATACGCTTGTTTAGCATAAAGAAGTTGTAAAACTGCCTTATAAATTAATTTATTGATTATCTAGTTCATCTTAACTTACCTGTTTATGTTTAAAACACGCAATTGTTGCTTGTATCCAAATTTTGGATAACGTTTGATATATGTTGTGTACAAAGTTCAAAACAAAGTCTCCTTAATTAAGAATACAAATGGGATAGACTGTCCAACTGAACCCACATTCCATTGTGTTTTTAAAAGTAGGACAAATAGTTGCTAGCGTTTCTGATGGTTTTTCACCAGTAACTCATCCAGATAGTTTTGATGCTTTGACAAACGCTAATCTAACGCAACGTAAGATAGATGGTGGTGAACTTTATAGTCAGCTGATAATGCTGTACATGGACGAGAACTCAATATTTCTAACTTACATCCTACATCAAAATCAAGATTTTTCAAACTCTTAGCAAATCTGCCACATTGTCCAATTTTCATAATGATGGCAATAAAAATGACAAAGGCGAACTGAGAAAGTATTTAATCATGTTTGTTTCGATATTCAATATAAACCTACAATGTCCAAAACAACACCAGCCCCAAACCACTATAGTTCGGGAAAGAGTTCAAGTGTTCAAGTATAATCTCGAAGATCGATTGGCTTATTTGCTAGGTCATGATCATATTCACTGACCTACGTGACACATGTTCTAACCACCTCAGTTATTGAAGATTCACTACCTCATCAGTCGATTTGCCATGCTTACTTATTATCCTATTTCTCATCCAAGCATTGGTAACTCAGTGGTCCCAAAATACAGAAGCAATGCTTCGAACATACCTATCATCGAATACTACTAACCTACGTATATCCTTTGTTCTAGATGGCCATGTTTCACATCCATAACTGATAGGCATTAAACTCGTTCTTTGGTTGCCAAATGGATATCTCTCCTACGCCACAAGTTATCCAAGTGGTCAAAAGTCGGTCGAGCCTTCTGAATCAACGCCTATATTTTGCCATCCTATTGTGTGCTAACCCGAAATTTATAAAATTAGGTCTTACTGAATTTTTTCTACTTTCTTAAAACACTATGTATTTAACAATATGATCTCCTGATCAAAACCATCTGGTTGACCCTCATTTTTCTCATAATAAAATCGTCAAAAGTGTTTTTAGTCTACTAGTCGTCTTCTCAAGTTTTAATGGCTTGGCTAAACAATCGTTCTAGGGTTTCATACTTGATAAGGTTAGGGTGAACCTTGAGATCGCATACTTTATGGATGATTGTATCATGCTGAGTAGTGGTATTATGAAATACTAATATCGTTTTCGTTTAATAATTTCCAAGAGATGTGTTTAACTTTTTTTAAAAACAGCAACAATAGTAACAACTACTCTTTAGCCTTACAGTATCAATCTTTCACCTACTTGATTTTCATGTGGATGTTCTTTCAGTTTCCCAACGTTTTATGAGAAGTTCGGTACTGATTTCCGAAACAATTACAAACCTGTGTTAAAGTTGTTTACTTAGCCTACAGATGATTATTATTTAATCTTTAAACAGCTTATTGAGTAAAATGTTCCATCATAACGAATTTCAAAAGCACTATCTTCTCTTCTCAAATCACCGACAGATTTATCACATTACGAATTTCAAACTCTTTATAGAAGATTCACCAAAACTTAAAACATGGGTGATTAAACCTATTTGTTTATCGATATGATTATCCATAGGAAATCGAACATCAGTCAGGGTTTTGTTAAAACTTACTTTTTAGGTTCTTAGTAAGATATAAAAAATTGCTTGTGCAAATTGAAACGATAAATTTTATCAAAACTGACTCATTAAAATTCTAGTCTGTGTAGGTCTCTGTAACATGGTCCTCCTAACTTTCCAGCTTCTATTAGTTAGCTGATCATAGTGAAGCGTGATTGCTTTGCAGTTTTTCCATCATCTTAAATTAGTGAGTGTCCTTTCAGTTCTGTCATTACAATGAGGAAGAAAGAGATTATTTTCACTAAAGGGGACCCAGTGTTGTCTACAGTGAACCTACACGTTCCTTTGTCGACTTAATTTATAAATAGTAATGACGAGTTCGTGATATATTTATTAGTTTCGTCAAATCCAAATGAAAGTTTTGAGGGCTTGGTCATTAAAATCACTGTACCTTTCGGTTTTACAGACAGCATTTTACTGTCTTTCTGATAGATTAATTCACTTCATATCTGACAGCCTGTTACAAAATGAATATCCAAGTCTTTCGCATTAACCTTTGAACTACACAGATATGAAATTATCGCATGTGCCTTTTTAAGATCCAGTTTTCTCATTTTAACAATATTTATCTAAATAAGAGATGCGTACTAGGATACCATTTTAGGATCTAAATCTCATACAGATTTTCATACTTGATTCCTAAGTTTTGTGTAGAAAACGTAAACGTGCTGAAAAATAAAAATGTTTAGTATATTGATAAAGCACTTCATTCGTTATAGTTAATAAGTTATCACCGTAATGAGTTTAGAATTACTAGAATATAAAGTGATTTCGATGTTAGAAGGTTGTCAAAGTGCTAAATAGCAATATTGAGTAGGTTTTTCTTTAGGTTTTAATGAAATTTTGACAATATGAAGAAAGTTCAACGGAAATAAAATATCAGTTTTCTGTGTTTATAAATTCATTTTGTCCTTTCGAATAACTTTTATCACTTGTCTAACTGGTTACTTCTTTCTTGTTATAGATTGGGGCTTCTTATTGCAAAAATATAAAAATGATGGTAACAGATCATACGAAGGAGCAAATTTCTACTATGTATCAAATGGCAATCAGTGATTCTTGGTTACTTGCGAAACATGATATAACCATAAATTTATCAACTTTTTCTCAGTGCATGTGCCTTGGAGATATTTTTGACTCGTCTACCAATGAACTTATCGTTGCTGATTTTAGTCAATACTTCGAAAATATTCATTCTAATTTAGGAGGTTTTGAATTCAAAATCAAGATATTTAAGGGGACTAAACTCATCAATGAATTACCATACATTGAAGCTCCTTCTGGAATTATTCCATTTAAGTGTAAAGGGAACGACAAACATTGTCTAGGTGGGTAACACTGAGCTATGTTCTGATTTCTGAATACATGTTTAAGACTTTCTATATCTCGGACGGTTAAGTTCCAAATTTTTAGTATAGAGGAATATCCTTAACTGAATTTTCTTTCAGGAGTTAGGATGAATATTCTAACCTATTTTAAAAATATTCCAGGAGGTTCCCTGTGTTTATAATATTCTGCTTATAGTAAAAATACCAAATACAGTATTTTTCAGTAATACAACTTAAACCTGTCTTGTTTCGTAGAGTTAACGTGATAAATTTAAGAGGAGATAACAACGAATCCGTTTTCTACCATCTTAGAAGTCATACATAACTATGTAGTGTTTACATGAATTAGGTCACCGATAAGATAAGATTATTTGGTTACAAATTAGAATAAATGGAGATAACGTAATGTGAGGGAAGTTGTTAGCGAGTTATAGATTGGATTGAAGCATATTCCGTGGAGGGTTGTGTTTGGACACGTTGGTTGGCTGTTTCTTAGTCAACCAGCATTAGCGGATGTTTGGAAAGGACTCTAAAATATTCTTATGTAAAAATTATAAATATACTACAATTTTTCATATTGGGATTCCTACTTCCATTTGAAATATGATTATGTTCATGTTCAAGCGTGTTCTGATTTGGGGACTTGTCGAGCGAAGTCCAATAATACTAAGCAATAAAAGTATCTGGGACTTAATAAGAGATATCGTCACAGAAGTAATGAAATACGTTTGGTAACTATAATAAAGTTTGCCCGGAGATTATGTAATCCTCAAAAGTATATGAATTTAAAATGAGTGCGAAACGGATTGTTCTTAGAAGTTTCACATTACACGTAGACTAACGTTAGACAACCATTGTAAAACAGGAAACGTTTGGCAGCTATTTTATCCTATTTTAATACTCTGAAGAAATGTACATCCACGACCACGTAAGAATTCACGACGGTCAGATGCTGCGGTGAGCAATTGATTTTCATATCACCGAGTTGACATCCAACGGTTTACATTTCTATCAATTCAAGAATTGTTATTCTTTTTTTCAAAATAAATTTGTGTTACTTAGTTGTTTTTATTCTTATACTCTAAAACAATCTATTTAGCACTCAACTATATCTTAATTTATAACACTTCACAGATCACATAATCTCGGATTAGGTTATATTGTTACCTCTCTTACCCTACGTTGACTATAATCATGCTAATCATAAATTTCACTCTGGGCAAACTACTACTAATATATTTAGCAATAAATCAATAGTTCACTGTCGACTATGGGATTGACTTCTTTTCAGAATACACTAATTCATTTCAACATTAACCTACAGTAGGAATTTCAGGCAAATTGTTTTTGGTTTCCATCATACGACATGAAGTAACCAAACTTTTAAAATGTTTAATGAATCAAAAATGGTAATATCATCTTTTTTTCTAAACATTCCTTTTAGATCAGTTAGTTGCATACTTTAAGAGAGGCGGCCAAACCAAAACGTGGCATCAGTGCTTGAAGTCACTAACTTCTAGTCTGAGCCATGTTGGGAGATGTAAGCTACTTGGTTAGGGTCCGCGTGACTATCGTAACCACTGATTGGAGACTCTTGGTGACATGGCTCAGAATCGATCACAATGGCGTCGAAATATACACTCTCTGTCTTCCCTTAAACTAAGAGATTAAAATCGCTTCATATCTTTCTTTCTATGAACTAATTCTTTCTTTCTGTACTATATCCTCATTGCAATCTTTCTTTTATATATTACCACAACTGAATTAACCACTTCTATAAATCCGGTGTTGATATTGTTGTGTCAATGAGGTATGGCAACTTGGACCAATGGATATATGTGCCTGGTCCTACGTTGTAGCTGACTGACTGACTGATACTTTAATAGATTCGAAATTTATTAATTTCAAATTCCCTAGTTTATTTAACTTTAAATTGGATATTTAGTTTGGTTGACATTGTCTCATGTAACTAATTACTTCAATGAATTCGGTGTTCATCTTGTTGTGCTAATGAGGTATGACAACTTGAACCGATGCATATATGTGCCTTGTCCTACGCTGCAGTTGATTGACTGATGTAACTAATCGCTACATATCTTATTATTATTTTTTTAAAATTATGTCTGTCCTACTTATTATTAGTAGTTTTTCATTACTTTATTAAACTCATGTATTTTTATGTTGAAATGTATAAGATTTAGCTATTGCTGCTGGACCATTTATTTATGTCTACTGTAAATTATCATCATATTATAAATACACTCTACCTTCATTGGAACCTAATTTGGATCAACTCAAACTATGGGAACAAGCTAGAGAGGTAATAATAATTTTTCGCTATTTTTCACATATATTTATGCTTTATGATCAATAAAATTTTTAAAAATGTGCAAAGGAAGTTTGATTCTATTTCTAAATTTTAAATTTCATAGTGGTCTAGCTTCAACTGACTCATGATCTCAACTATTGAAATTATTATAATATCCACAAAAACCCCTTCTGATACTGATCAGTATCTGCTCACTAGTGACTGACTCCAAGAGGTCTTTCCTGGAGTTCTAGTGAGAAGCAGTGACCAATTGAGTTCAACTGGGTCTGTTCTGAGATAATAAATCACTGATGACAATGGTGGATGTGTCACTCGATTTCGTGGATTTGTTGAAGTTAGACATTAACACGTTTGGATGCCGGCCGGCTCATTGGTCTAGAAACTAAGCGTTCGCGCACGAAACCGACAGGTTCTGGGTTCGAATCCCACGAGGCGGGATCGTGGATGCGCACTACTGAGGAGTTCCACAATAGGATAAAATGGCCGTCCAGTGGTTCCAGGTTTTTCATGGTGATCTAGCTTCAATTGACTCATGATCTGAACTATTGAGATTATTAAATTTCATATGATTGTTATATTTTATACAGTAAAATATATCCAGCATTATTCTGTATAGAATATTGGGCTAATAATTTTTGCCAAGTAAATAACTATGAACACTTCACTTCTACCTGAAGTTCATGTTGACCATTTGGTTGAGAATAATGAAAACTCGATGACAAAATCATCCAGTTCAAAGAATAAAACTCCATCAAAATCATCCACCTCAACTACAAATCTTCACCATCTCACATTTCTGTAATATAAAAAATCTACCTTTACTTTATGCCGGTTGTTCTATTTTGAATTTCAGAGTTTATAAGTGAAAATGTTTCTGAGAATTATAAATAACAGAGTCATCAACTCTAATTGATTGTATTTTAACTAACAACTTGTAAGATCAATCGATGAGATCCCGAAACAGTGAACCTTTTAAATGTTACTAAAGAATTGAAAACATTTTATTTGTAATTTGGTTGAAAGATTTGATTTCAGATGGATATTGTTACTTTATCACTTAAATAAGTATTTTTTACTCTCATTGGCTTACTACTTTCTAGGTGAGAATTTATATAACTGGCAAATTAGTTAGTTGAAACAAGTCTTGTCTGAGTAACTTACAAATTTTCCACCTCACTTTTCATATAGCTACTTTGTGAAATCATTTATATTTTAACAATCAATTTCCTATGGTTTACAGGGTAATTTAACACCAGAGGAATTACGTGAAAAACTTAAGCAAATTGGGTATGTTCCTATAATTTTTCCGTATATTTGATGTTAGATAATTGAATGAAATCAAGTAAATATTTGTGGTAATTAATTTAATGTAATGTAATTTATTAACAGGTACATGTTAGTGTAGTCGGTATTGATTTATATTTTTTATTCGAGATTTTTTGATATTACCAGGTTGCCCAAACCAAAATAGAAAAGTCAGGATTCAAACCTACTTCCTAATGTGTCAAAGTTGAATGATGCAACCACTAAGTCACCACTTTACAACTACTTGTGGTATCACTTTCAAACACCGATGGTTTATTAACGTGACTTAACTAAATGAAAATGACTACTCACAATTTGACAGACTTCACAAATTCTTTTAGTTCTCCGTGAATAATATTGGTGTTTTACAAATTGCCGGATTTATAATGTCTTCAAGGGAGCTCAAAACTAATTAACCCTGCTATCCGTATATCACACTATACTAATTTCAGGGGACTAATTTCTAAGTAAAGTTGAAAATAGTGTGAGTACTGGAACTACAGTTCTGAAGATTTTCTTTCGAGCAATTAAAAAACGTTTCAATGGATGCTATTTCGGAGAAGTGAGTTTTCAGAACCTGAAGGTGACTGTGTCACATCTAGATATAGTAGGATAGTCTTATCTGGCATTTTACTCATTTAAAAACGAAGATGAATAGCATTTGTAGTAATGAAAAACATAGTTAAAAATGGACTTCATTTACAGTAAAGATAATACCATAATCAGCTGATTTACATCCTCATTTCTAAATTTAGCAACGTATGTTATAGTCTTAGTAAAGCATGACAAACTTAACGCTCGTTTGATGAACCATCTAGAAATGGTACTCTATGGGCTTGGGATATCATAAATATAATATTCAATCAATATCAATATTAAATGTTTTATTATTTCAGATTTTGAAAAAAAAATTATTGTGATTGAATTTGTTTAAAAAAGTAATCTTTTATTATTATTTTTGTTTTTCTTTTAAACTCAAGATCTGAAATGCATAAGCTAACTTCAAGATCTATACGGTATCTACAATTACCCGGCGACCTATTACACGAATTTTTCAACACTTATCGAATGATTCCACTTCAAAAGCAAGTAGGAGAAGCTATCTTTTATGCAATCATTTTCCATGTTTTATATTGTTATATTCAGTATTTGTGATAGAAATGTTTCCGTATTGTATTACTTATTAATTTAGCATTTCTGAACTTATTTCTGCAGACTGTAGCAACGTGTTTGACTAAAATGAGTAAACAACACAGTGGACCTAATTCCTGGGACTGTTTAATCGTTGGCACAGAATCCTGTTTTGTTTATATTTACGATTGTGTATCACATAATAATTTATGTGAGGTAAGTAAATTTCATCATATTTTTTAACATGTTGATTTTAAGAATTTGATTGATGTTTTAATAATCCATTTTATAAGTTAAAAGCAGTTAAAAAAGCACCACGAATGAGAAAGAATTAGACCTATTGAAGTTAAGCATGTTTCGGTAGATATGAAGAACAAACATTTCATTTATTTCACTGTACTCTTTGCTCTTAAAAATCTTTTCTCATTTACTCTGGTTTACTTTGTAGAAGAAATCTGATAAAAGCATAACATTATAAAATTTTGTTGCCTGAAATTCATATTCCTTAGTTAACTAGTTCAGTATGAATACACTTGTTAAGTAAAATTTATACGACAGTGTTGATCATAAGAGATGTTTTCAGATTAATATAATAAGCCTTTTCTGTTATTGTAATAGAGATGTAATATGGAGATTATAACAAGTCTATTATATCACATAATTTATTATGGACTACAAGCTACTTAAAATATAAAAAGATTTAAAATATAACTTTCACAATGGTTTAAAATCTACTAGAAAACTACTGAAAATCAAAGAAGATTAGGTAGCTAGTTTCTTATCATCTTTGATAACCGATAACTTTAAATGTACATTTACAATTTTAATAAAGTTATGATATATCGAGATCATAGTTTTGTATTATACTTATAATGCTGAACAAAAGCTAAGCTTAGTAAATGAAGATTTGAACACTACATGTTATAAACAAACTATTGTTTAAAACTAATTATTCAAATATTTGTCTTTATTTGCTCGTTGTACTTAATTACAAAGCTCATGGGTCTTAATATCATCCCTGTTCAACGCCAAAACCTATATTTTGATTATAATACAAATTAACATAATTAGATTGTATTTGGCTGAAAAAAAGTGACATTAACACCCATGGATGCCGGTTCATTGGTCTAGATGTTAAGCGTTCGTGTGCGAAACCGATAAATCCTAATTTCAAATCCCACGACGGGGATCGTAGATGCGCACTGCCGAGGAGTCCTATACTAGGATGAAACGGTCGTCCAGTGATTCCAGGTTTTCTATGGTGGTTTTGCCTCAAATGACTCATGAATCCAACTATTAAGATAAATAATATACAATTTTTCCTATTGATAAATAATAATAGAACAAAAATAACGGACGTAACGGAAAAACATGAACTCATTTATTTATTGACTTTAACTGTTTGTAATCTAAAATTAATAATCCTCATTATTTTCGCAAGAAAAAACCAATGTATATAAATAATATTGTCACGGTTCGACTTGATAATTTCAAATAAGTTAAGCTTTGAATGGATTGGTAATCTTACTGTGACTGAGCTATGAGTATCATGATTTGGCTCTGAATTATGTAACATTAAACAAATGGTTAATAAAACTAGGGTTTGATATAATGGGGAATTTTTAAACAGTTATAATATGTAGTCATAAACAAAAAATGTTATAAGAGTGAAGTATGGAAAGTGGAATTATTAGATCAATGCAAAAGTGACAACAATATTCCTTTGAAATATATAAATTCAGTTTACGGTTTTGATAGTAAGGACTTCTACAAACCTCATTGGTCCTAAATGGTTTGTTTCTTGATAATTTTGGATAATTGTAAATCTGACAATCATCTCCACAATCAAGTATATAACGGACGATCACTCTACTAACGACATTTTAACCTCTTGGTCTCAATTTTTAATGAATGGTCTCGGACATAAAAACACCAACTCTCCTTTCTACTTTTTAAATATATGTGCTCTGGCACGTGTGGTTAACATTTTGAGGCTGGAAGTGGATAGAACACACATTGAGGAAATCATCAAACTGCATCACGAAGCATCTGCTAACTTGCAATCCTGAAGGGAAATGTAAAAGCGGAAGGCTAAAGAACACACTGAACCAAGAATTGGAAGCAGAAATGAAAAGGATCAATAGCAACTGGGAAGAACTGGAAAGGATTGCACAGGACAGATTTGGATGGAGAATGCTAGTGAGCGGTTTATTTTCCTCCATAAGAGGTAACAGGTGTAAGTAAGTAAGCAAGCTCTGGCACGTACATGCAAATTCAAATGCACGATCAGCAATTTGTCTAATGTGTTGAAACGAGTTTTTTTCTGTTCTGGATAACTCATTTTCAATGCAGTCATTAGTCTAAAATCAATCTTCTCAGATGTTTTCGTTATCTGTACATCAAATTCTTCTTGATTTAATGAAATCAATGAATTTATTGCAATTAATATAAAATTTCGAATCGGTTCATTTTTGTCATACTGAACTTACTGAACTGGTAAAAATAAATAAAGCGCATTAGATGTATTGAATAATTTTTGGATGAAATTTTTCTATGGGTTTTCTTATTCATTATCAACTGTTCCAGTAACATGATAGTTATCTTTTGTGTAGCCACATTGAAAATGACGGTTTTATGTTCTACATAAATATACATATATAATCATACTACTGCATTAAAATCTGATCTTTAAATGGTTTAGTTTGATAACTTCTCTTATCAATATTCTCGACTAAAATAATATCTATATCGTGCGATTGTATGAAATGTCATCATACAAAAAAGAATCGTTTCTTCTCTGAAGCCTCATTATTCCAGAAGTATTGTTATAAACAACAACAAAATAATCTCGGAAGACTTTAATTATATATCGTCTTTATTTTATATATCTTAGGTTGCGTTACCATCTGTTCCAGTTCATTTAAACGCAATAGGATCCTTCGATATTGACTATCATATTTTAGTGACATGTCGTAACGGAATAATTTACTACATAAAACGGTAAATAATTTTTACAACATTTATGTTTCTGTTGTTGTAAAGATTTTGGTTTATTGCAAGTGTAAATAAAATTCAAAGCTGTAAGAAACGTGAAATTGTCAATTATTGTTATTCAATCTGTCATTACACAAATTTACTTGTTAAAACAGGCTTATTTTTTTTAAGACATAGGTAAAAATAATATTAACTCATCCAATAAAACGAACTTCGAGTTAAATAAAATAACAGAACTCAAAATCCAAACTAATCAAGTTATTGCTTACTTTTTACAACCAGTGATGATTAATCGGAGATATGAGTTCGAAGAGTGTATATGTCATTATCAGGAACTATAATTCTTTTAAGACTATTACTGTTTAAACTGGATGCAGATAAGCCAATAATATACGAAATATTAATCGATCAAGTTAAGGTACTATTCTTTTTTATAAACAACTGAGTAATAGACGTAGTGGATGGTTATGAACATTCATTTTATTCTTGTTTCAACTAACTACCACCGAGTTGTCGGCAGCATTCATGGGAAGAGGCTGTAACAAATTATGAGTGTGATTTCCAATATATCGCCGCTTGTCCTTTTCGAATATTTGGTTTCAAACCAATTTATTGCAGCTGTGTTATGCATAAAGAGTCATTCAGACCAGTCCCATTCACTGATTATTTCAGTCATCCACCGAGCTACCAAGTCCGGATAGCCTATAACTTGTATGAAGGTATTGTTAAAATTTTATGACTTCATTAAAGTAATGGATAACTCATTGGAATTCTAGGTGAAAAACATTGCAATTTAGTCTCAGTGTGAACAATACTGAGGTGTAGGTACATTCAATTGACAACTCCCGGATATGACGGGACCCGCACCCTGGAGTACACTGTTAGCCACACACCAAATATATTAGAAACTCTTGGTTCACTTCGCTGGATTATAGAACTCAACCAAAATCTCTACACTTTTTGGACTGTTTAAAAGTATGAAAACGAATCTCTCAAAACTGTTTACTAGACTTATTCCTGAATTTTTAAACAACATCCAACCCTAAACTTTAAAAGTTGTCGATAATACCAAACAAATAGATCAAGTCGAACAAAATGTAATCTGAAATCATGAAACCCAATGGAAACTTGAACTATCCTGTGACATGATTTAACCCTAATTAGTGTTGCTCATTTTGTAACTTAGCATTGCCACAACATCTCGTCTACTAGTGGTATTACTTGTATGTCAAAATTACTTTATTTACTAGTAATCGGGTTTTTACATGAATATATTGTTCCTTTTGCCTAGGTATCTCTCCCTCGGGTCCCGATAAAGTAGTTTACACCTTCATATCTTTTACTGCTGACACAGCTACTAGTATTTTATTTCTGTTTTTATTCTTCAAGTGGAGAAGCCAACGCTAAGGTTTATGTTGAAACTGGGTCACAGATTATCGGTTTACTTCGTACAGAAAAAGCTGTTATAGTTGCTTGTATGGATCAAACAGTTAAAGGATTTTCACTGGAGGTAAATAACTAGAATGAATCAGTAGCGCCTTATACTATTTAATAAATGTTTACAAAATATCTGTGCATTGTCATTTAAAGTTTTAACGTTTGATGTTACCATGCCCCATCATTTCACGCCGACGATTATCGAGCTAAATGAACTGGAATCTAGGAAAACAGTTTTTTATTTTCTCAAGCTTGAAATGACAGTATTTCAATGAATTTTGTGATTCAACTCCAGACAACTGTGGTCGAGTTAAACACATACCGGGATCCTCAAAAAAAATTGAAATGGAAATTCCTGACACTCATTATCTTTAATACTGTAGTCACAGGATTTGAGGCATTCTTATAAGTGGATTTAAAAAAAATCGAGTTTCATGACACTACAAGTATTATTCATCATCGGATGAGCCACGTGTAATACTACATCTAGTCAACTGTACATTCGTATATCATTTTTTTGATAGATCAATCAGCATTCAGTTATCTCATAGATTGAAGTTTGTAAATTTCTAGTGCTTTCTGTAATATTATTTTAATTTAAGCAAAATGTATCGTTCGTTTTCGGGATTTCCAAGCATAACTTATGCTCTAGGTTAGAGTTCTGCATGGATTTTTTCAATCGAATTTCTTGATAATTTGTTTGGGGAAACTCAATTTGAGGAAGAAATAAAGACAACTTAGTGAATGAAAGTTCTTTTCCATAATCTTATTCACTTTAACTGTACAACAATATTTATAGTTAATTGCATTACTTAAAATAATGATCTATGGTAAGAAAAAAAAAGAGGTGTTGTGTTATTTTAAAAATTGGTGCAAATTGATATAATTTATGAACAATCTTCTTAATCTAATCAGAGAACCATAGACGATCACTTGCACATCACCTTTTCTGAACTGTTCAGTTTTTCTATTTAACACACAAAATAACCTTGCTAACTTTGGAATGACGAATAAATTGGTTATATTAAATAAAATATTGTGCCTTTGAAAATTTCTTCCACACACACACACACATACTAACTCACGTATCAGTCATGTTTCATTACCCACTAATGAAATCTTTGCTACATATTTTTATTTAAGAAATCTCTTATTCACTTCCTCTTCCTCTAAGAAAATGCATATGTGACAGCAATCTACTATCTGACTTTGTTACAGAACTTAGAAATCTAAGTGAAATAAAGCAACTGCAAGCCATTGGGCTACCACCCTTATTATTCTTATTTGAAAGAATTCAGTTTCAGATTTAATCTTAATTTGATCTAGTGTTTATTATAGATAATTTATGAATTAACCGTTTTTTTTTCTTTTTGTTACTATTCAATCCATTTTTATACAATTTTCTAGGGTCGACCAATTTGGAGAGTAAGACATTCGTGCGAAATTTTAACAATAACTCCAATGAATTTTAATAGTTCAAACAATAGAAATCATGAAATTTATTATATCATATGTTTATCAGATGGTTCAGTCCAGATCTACTGTGATCAACATTTATGTGACAAATGCATCATATGGGTTCCTTCTACTCAGAATACTAGCCCTGAGGATAATAATAGTAATCCTCCAAACAATATTACATCTGGTAATTCAGGTACTATTAAGGTGACAGAAACTGAACAGAACAATAATCAATCACGTAAACTAATTGGTTATCACTTAGCGAAACCTGATCCAATTGTCGCTTGCTGTTTTGGGAAATATGACAGAGAAATCAATACACTAATACTTGTATCTCAAGGTTTGTCGATCATTTTCAATGATAAACTCCACTGTTTGTACATTTCACTATTCAATTAATTAGTTGAAAACTGTAGAATTCACATTTTTCTATCAATATAAATGTTCATAACTTATCAGTTTCATTAAAATCATGAATCGATCTAATTTAGACCATCTTTGAAACAATTTCCACAACCCTCTTACTGACATGTATCAAAAAGCTATAACTTGAAATTTGAGGCTAACATAAACCTTAAAGTGTCAAGTTTATAAATAGTATTCATTGACATTAAAATAATAATGTAACGCAAGTTCATATAATTTGTTAACTGCTGCCACTGAAACAGTGAAATTGTATTGATGATATTTGCTTTCAAATTATATTTCTTACAACTTGAAACTAAGTTTCGGAGAATGATAACATTTGATTAACTTTCAGATAGTTTTCCATGCTGCACAATCATGCTGATAATGTTTACTGTCAACTAATTGAAATTATACTGAAAATTCTGTGATCGAGGTTACCAAACTCATTTTTTTCAGTTTCCTCTCACTATTTATACAGTCTAATTACATTAATGAAACGTTTTTACAGGCTACATCGAAAATACTCACCTTCTACCGGTTAATTATTACTATTTTAAATAAATCTCTTGATGTAAATGATTACTAATGAGGAAGACTTACTTATATACATTGAAGTATTTCAAAGACTTATCTATACTACAGGTTCCACCTTATTATTATTATTAATATTATTATTATTGTTATTATTATTATTATCTGAACACATAAACATTGGTACAAGGAGGCACCAAACAGATATGCGCCACGCAAGTCACTTGATTTGTAAGTGAGCTGTGATACTGCCTGGGTGCCCAGACCGAAGTAAACAGGTTCTACCTGCCTGTAACTCAATCTTTTTGTATTGATCATTTGGATCTTCCCATCGATGTTTAGGACTACAATTGGTCCATCTCATATTGGTATATGTGCATCCCGTGTAAATCGCCCCGATATTGCCTTAAATCACAAGCATTATAGGCTGAGATGATAGTGGCTAGCAGTAGAATCCAGTTGAGATGGATGGAACATGTGTTACGTATGCCCAACCACCGACTGCCTCGACGTGCGATGTTCAATGGTATAGAAGTAGGTTGGAAGAAAGCTAAAGGCGGCCAGAACAAAACATGGCACAAGTCCATGCAGTTACTGGCAAGTGAACTGAGCCATGTTGGTAGGTGTAGACTACCTGGTTGAGGACCACGAGATGATAGTAACTGATGGTTAGAGGCCCTGAATGACATGACTCAAAATCGTTTGCAATGGTGCAGGTGCATCCACTCTTTGTGTTCTCACAAATTCCAATCTCCTAAATCCTCCTTGTCTCTATTTTTCTCTTTCCAAATTTATTTCACTGGATTATACTCTTTAAATAACATCTTCAAACCCTAGTGTTTCCGTTTACTGCGTATATTCTTACTACATCTACCACTATGGAGTTTGAGTAGACAACTGCATCTCTGTGCTAATGTGATGTGGCAACTCGAACTGATGTACGTACGTATGAAGTTCTACGTTTTTACTGACTGACTGACTGAGAATCCAGGACGCGCGTTTCGAAGAGCGCAGTACCGGTTTAGAGTCCTGGAATGAAAGTCAACCCTGAGATGAAAGTATATCCAGCTGACGAGCCCCAAATAGGATGAAACGTGCGTCCTGCACTCAATTGCTAGCCATCATCTATCTATGCTTAGAATACCTGTAACTAACTTATGGATAAATGTTTTAATTGCAACGTAAAACTGAATTTATTTATGTATTTATTCATTTTTTTCGTTTAGCTGGGCACATGTTAATCTTAATTGCTAAACGTACAGCTAATTTTATTCCGATGGATGTGATTACCTCTCGTACAATCGGTAAACTTGATAATTTGAATATCCCTAAAAAATCAAATTTATATATGGATTTAACAACTCGTGAACAATTAAATGCACCGCGTGAGTATTCTCACTTTTTTAAATGGTAATCAATAAAACAAAAAGAACAAGATTCACAGAATTAAATGAATTCATTAAATTTCAGAGGTTCTGATCAGCTGGAAACAATCTAGATTTACATCACTAATGTTATTACAAAATCACTTATCATATACTTTAATCAATGCAGTTTTGCTTGAAATGACTTAAGAAACAAGAGGAAACAACATGTTTAAAATAGTAGTTAACATTGATCAATTGATATTTATATACTGAGAATGAAGTCATAAAAAAGAGGAGGTGAAGTTATAAGTGATCATGAAGAGACAATGAATAGAAACAAATTGTTTCCAAATGAGTAGTAACCAAAATACCTATTTAGCGTAACATTGAAATTAACGTCTTTAGTGATTGTCGGTGAAATTTTTGATGTTTATTTAGAAACCATATTGAAGCGATAATGTAACTGATAAGGCTTAAAGTAATGTAACTATTTTACCATGGCAACGATAGGTTTACATTACTTTCTTTATACAAACATCATATTGAAAGCTCTTGATGTCTACAACTTCTGCAAAACGGAGTAAAAAAGACATACATTGTCTGTGAATTATTTTGAATGCTTCTGAAAAATCCACCTTGTGTTTCCTCTGTCCATTAAAATCATTTAATGTTTGTGAAAACTTTACTTCCTTTTAGTCACATCTTACGCGGAATATGTTCCAAAAACCTTTTAGATGCCCTTCGTTATGGTATTACTTATATAAATTTAAGCTGTTTGCAGCTGGTGAGAAGCCTTTTCATATTGTGAATTCATGTTATTCTGTAAATTTTGTTCTTCTTGCTTTATTTTAATTTATCGAGAGATCAGGATCTTAGGAATGGAATTATTACTTAGTATTTTTTCTGTGTATATGTCTATAATAAATAATTCGATTAGCTTAACTATTTGTGAAGTATTAATGTGATGCAGATATGAAATAACGAAAATTCCTATTTCCGGGAAAGATATAAATGAAGTGAACTTTTTGTTGCTGTATTGTACAATACTCAAGATTATTTGCTGTATTTAAACAAACATGTACGGTTTATGAATATTAAGAAGAAAAATGCTAATATCAGTTATAGTAATCTTTGTATTTCAGAGAAAACATTTACCTTTTTTGGCAGCTTTAAATTATTATTAACGACACTTAACAGAAAAAGTACTTCCCAATAATAATTAATATTAATTAAATTAAATTAATTTTTTAGAGAATGACGGCACTTGACTCTTTATCAACTTTGACCCGGTGTAGTTGTAGTGAACAGAACACGAGTGAGGACAATCAAATGTATTTAACACAAAATTACAGGACTTGTTAAAAAAATCTAACAATCATAAAGTAAATGCTTAATTTGCAAAATGTTCATCAATTGCCTCAAAATGACTCAGACTTCATTATTCTTGCATTTTCTTACAAATTGCATCCTGTTTCCATTCTTTACTGTTCGATCCTCTCGTCTCTTTGCTGCCAAACCTTCTGTTCACGACTAACATCATATACTACTTATGTCAATATTATAAGTAGCACACACCACATCGTGAGGCAAGGTAGTATTTTTCTTTTAATTGTTCATCATACTGATGATTATTGTTTCCCATCAAATTCCCCAGTGTTTATTCAATTATTCCTCATCAAAATATTTCAGATTTTACTCTTTCTCTGTATTTAAAATAATTTATTAAAATACGTAGATATTTTTACTAAAGTTCTGTTGTGTTTTGTTCGAGTTTCTCTTTATAACTTCTAAACATTAGTTTACTCTAGAAAAACGTAGTATATGAATATATATTGCAGGTATAATGGACGCGACTGACAACATTGCTTGTAAGTGGTATGCAGCGGAATTTGCAACGATCGTCAGACGGAGAGAAGAAAGTTAGTTTAGCAAAAGCTTGACATAGCTAAAACACTTGGAGATCAAACGAGAAGACGGTTCACATTGCAAAACACACCAAAAGATGAAAATAGATGTTTGAAGGCTATGTATATGTATTATGTAAATTCTTTGTAACTTCTCATGATCATTATAGATTCATTCAGCTTATTGCCTACTGTTACTCATGGGGTTTAAAATAAGAGTTAAATGCTCTGTAAATACATTGAAACATTAAATTAGTGATAATAATTAAACAATTAACGACGGTGTCGTATTTGTTACAGTATTTTTCATGTATTTTGTTTTCCTTTTCGATTTTTTTTCACTCTTCAGGTGCTAAATATAATAAACTGTAACATTACCTAAATGTACTTCTGTTTGCTGATATAATTTTCTAAGGATAAGTTATTATAGACCAATTAGTTATATGGTTAACCTACACATCTTCAAATTAGGTGACTGATAATGTTTGTTCATTATTAACTGAGTTGTGTACGATACAATATGTTTTATGTCGAATTTTTATGTTATTTTTTTCCCAGAAATGTATCGTCAATTTGTGAATGATTTACGCTTTGTAAAGCGATCAATTTCATCCACCTTTCTTAATATGTTAGAAAATCATTCTAATCCTATTCCGATTTCTGGTTATGGTGAACAAATTAAATTAAATGTCCAGGTAAGTTTCTTCACTATTGAATTGTGTCCTCTAATAAACTTTTAAAAAGAATCGTACTTTGATTAAAACCTAATACATCAAAAGTATTCCTCAAGTAAACATATCTTTATAATGTTATTGTTAATTCGAATCATTTTGTAAGACATATTATTTTGTAGTTGGGTTATTGACGCTATCATGAGTAATAAATTGATACTGTAGCAGCTTCTCTGTTAGTGCACACCTACATTATTTGTTCAAATTTCTGAACAGACAGATTAATTTCATAGTTTTGAATAATTTTTTACATATATATATGTCATTGTCAATTATTCGATTGTAACCGTGATTGTTTTTATATGGGCGTATGTGTGAATATGTCTACTAATATCCTTCCCTATCCCACATAACTGTTTAGCATGTTTTTTCTGCTTAACGATAAACGTTAGGTTACGTTTGGTTATTTCAGTCAATCCATTTCGCATGCATTTTCCTTTATCTCTTATCGTTTGTCTGGATGACTGAATTCTGAAATATATGTCCATCAAATACTTTCGTATTCGACTTTTTATATCTACGTTGTCGTTAACGGGATTTATTGACAGAATATATATGCAATCAAATATGGCATATATTTCATTAACATCAATATCATTCAATTGTTATGCAGTCAACAATAACCGTAAAAATACTGATGATTAAACTCTTCAGCTATTATCGAAGTGTCGGTGTCATCTTACGGGTCAGAAAATATAACGTTTGTGAGAGTTGGTGAGCTTTAAACGGTAATATGTAAAGTTAATGAAAAAAATAGTAGCATATTACACATAAGCCATAAAAAATGCTTTTGTGGGTGAAGTTATTTAGCATATTAGGGGAGTACTGTTTTTAGTCAGATGGTGATAAAAGAACACAACCACATTGAAATGATGTTGTTCACCTGAATGTCATTTGTTTAATTGCCAGTGGTTAACTAGATGCACAGTTTTTTATAGAAATTAATATTCAGTATTGTTTAGACTGCCACGGTATATTATGACATTGAATAAACGTCTATCATAAATAGGTTTGGGGATATTTGGAATAGCATATCTTTCACTTACTGCGTAACAATACACAGAATTGACTATCAGTGTTTGCTTCCTACTCTTCTAGAAGTTTATAGCTAAATATTTTTAGAGTAGGAAAATCCGCGAAATATTTCATTTTTAATTATTTGTATCTCCGTTGTTTTAACGCATAATTAACAATTTTTAGGTTCAGGGTCTTGGACCTGAATTTACTTTGATTTGTGAGATAGTTCAAATAAAAAGCAATACAATGTCAACTTTGAAGGGTTTGTATATTTTAATATTATTCAATGCTTCAGTTTATCAAGTGAATCCGGTTTTGATTCCAGTAAGTTGGACTTTTATTTAATTGGTTAAAGCTGGATTTCAAATAAAGTTTTAATAATATCACATACATTTTTATAATTTCGGTACATCGAAAGTTTGAGACACTGTTTTCTTAGGTGATATGTAAGCTTCTGCAATATTCATCTCTTTAACTCAACACGAGAATAAAAGAAGAAATATTTTGGAAGCTTTATTATCGAGTCAGATTTAGTTATGAAAATCAGGGGATATTTATACGATTACCGGTAATTATGCTGTCCTAGAAACGTTAAGAAAACATAATTATGATAATAATCGTTTAGATTATTGACCAATCATACTAGGAAAGAACTTAAATGAATTGGCTTCTAAACGTTCTTAAGAATTTTTCACTAAAACTGATCGGATATATGTAAAGTCAGGTATTCTTCGGCTTTCACATAACATATATGATCAGTCTTAGATGTCCCTTATCATTTTGTAGATTAAATGTTGAAAGTCTTAGGTATTTCAAAAATTTAGTTTATATTAAACAAACCTTGATTAGTACTTGAATCCGGTTTGAGACACTTAAATCTTTGGTTGGCTTTAGAAGGAGTATAGAATACCTAATGTTTAATAGTTTCAAGGTATGATGGACAACTAGTTTTTATTACTATTTTGACTAAAATTTTTTTTTTCTGTATTAACTAATTGACTGAATTGTTCTGTTTGAAATTTATGCCACTCGATTTTTAAAGAAGGCCAAGAGATTGGATAAAACGATCATGCTTTTAATTACCATTATATTGTATTCAACATTTTTTGGATCAAGACTTTAGCAGACCTTTGTCTTAACTGTAAATTATTTGTAATGCAAGGTGAACTGAAACTCCTGAAAATAGATGTTCCTAATGTCAGATAATCAATCAAATGCTGTAAAAGAAGGGCAATGAAACGTTACTGCTGACAAGTTGTTTGCCGTTAGCAACAACCATCTTTTTATCTTACAAAAATAGAATTTTTGCTAATTAATTTACCGACTGTGGCCAATTTTAGCATCAATTACTGGTCTATGTATCTATATTTATCTCATTTTTATTAGTTGCACAGTTTGACTAAATAAATTTATAGTAACAAAACGAAAATAATCACGGGTCTATTCTATACACGATATGTGATCTATTTATCAAAACCGAGATTTAATAGGGAGTTAGATGATTCAGCCCAATCTATTTAAAACGTAATTAAATCCCCACTGTTTATGATCTTTGTTAATAACTACTTATTCTGGTGTTTTGTTATTAATCATCCCAGTTGGCTACAATTTATCCTTGTTTCAAATACCGTTACACTTCTTCCATCACTTTGATTCATGAAATATTAAATGAAGAAGAAATAAAGGTTTGCAATCAAAATTTTGTACGGTTTATAATATTTTATCCTTTTCTTGTTGATATTATATATTTTGATAACTCGTAAGTAATAAATAATATGTGAAAGGCACAACTTTGATTCAAGATTGTAACTATACTTTCACATGTTATCATTGTTTCTTCGATGAAATTAACTAGATATGTTACATTGACATTACTGCTAATAGATTTTTAACTGTTTGTATGAGTATTTAAGTGTACAGCCTTGAGATTAGTTTTTTTAATACAATTTTATTGTAATAAAAAGACGAAGATTATCAGAACTATGTGATATATTAGCGCAATATATTTCGAACAATCTGATCACGCATATACTTGTTAAGACCATTTATATTTAAAAATAAAAGGTCAACTAGACTGGGAATGGGGTAAGAGGAGACAAAGATAATAATAAGGGTAATGATAATAATGTGAACACGATTTGAAGCCTAATCACGCCATAGTGATCAGATTGTTCGAAGCGTATTGCGCTAATATATCACATAGTTCTGATAATCTTCATCTTCTTATTACATGGTCGAAATTTATCAAAGGGACTGATTGCTTTAAATTTTATTGTAATTTATTGTTGGGAAATAAATTTAATGATAGTGCATATAATGCGTTAGGTGTATATGATTCGATAATATGCTATTAACTATACTTCAAACATAACCTTCGTATTGGATAGGTTATCATGTCAACTTTTTATTTTACAAAAGCAATACATCATTATAATCTCAAATAATAATAATATGGCTCAAGTCTGATTCATCTAAGGATTTTTCATAAATTCACACTACGGTATGTTTGAAATAAAATTAACATAGAATAGTGTACTTTGTTATTTCAGATTTTTGGTTATAGGTTGGTTATTAATACTAATGCTTAAACTATTAAAAGAAGTCTTCAAAATAAGAACTTCGGAATAGGTGATTTAACTATGAAGTGTTTAGCTTGAAAGTTTTTCTAAGGGAGTCTAATTTCTTTCCACCTGGAAACTTTAACATATATGATATATCTGTTATCTGATTATATATCATTGTCATATTCTATCAACGTTTAGGTAATAAGATCACAAACTAAACTTAACTATTTTATTTGCACTCACCTGTAAACCCAGCTTAGTACTCTGAAGTATTTTTTTTATTTTAGAAGATATCTTTCAAATTAAGTAGTTTAACCACTTATTTAACGGTCTGTAACGGAATGTAACGCTTTGATTGTCTAGTTTCAGAGTAGCTCACTATCACAGTCCACCATATGAATGTTCCTATTAAGAGTTTTAAGGATAGCAACTATAATCTTAAGCATGACATGAAGTTTAAAACTTGCGAAACTTATTCAGATACATTACAAAACCTTCAACTGTTTATCTTGGCCTCTTGATTCATATTGGTCGATGCGATAGTAGACCTTTTATTAATAGAATTTAGAAAGGTAATAGCATTTCATCCTTACCTTGAAACACTGCATATCTGCAACTTCAAGTTCTTACAATCGGTCTGGAGTATTAAGCTCAGTAGCTAAAATAATTTTATCATACTTGATGTATTACTGTAAGTTGTGTGAACTGGTATTTTGTATATAATGTAGGCATCTTCTAATCCGCTTGCATCAGTATATCTAGAAATATATTCGCAAAGGTATTTAGCGTCCATCAATCACTTTTACAGAATTTCAGTGCAAAATCCTTTCATATTTTTTATTTTTAACCACTATTATAGTCAAATATCTAGCAGTTCTTAGCTTAAGTCCATTTTTGAAATGACTTAACTTTAGCCTTGAGTTGTCGATATAGGCCACGTGCAAAAGACATTTTATTGACCATTGTATTCACGATTTTTGAGCCTTTAGTATCTCTAATGCTTCTTGTTTTATACTACAGGTTCTTGTTATCAATAAGCAAAGTTCTAATCCAATAATTTCTTCTTCAGTGAAAATGCCAATCAGTGAACTATCGATGGGATAATTTAATATATAATTTAATGATGTTAAACTGTTAGAAATGTACAGATATCCCACTCTTGTTAATAAATTTTTATAGCTAGTAACTTTTTTCTGAAGCCCGAGATACAGGCAGGAAAGTTGAATGTTACTTGTTCACATAATATCATAAATACCTTCGTTACTTCAGAACTTGACAATCTAAACACACAAAAGGTAGCCAATTAGTTTATAAGAATAGTAATGATATTTTGAAATACCGATAGATTTATACTCTGTTGAAATAAAACGTCATGAATATTCAGGTAGTGATATAGACGCAAAAGTATGCGGTTAGTTACCCCTCTTCCCCTAGTATCGATAAGTCTCAACTGCATTCCGTTGTAATCGTGACGTGGTCCAAAGTGGGGATACACTTTTATCAGTTATGTTTCCATCTACGGATTTAAATTTCATTAAAATCTTCTTGTCAATTAGCACTCTGCGTGTTGCTTCTACTTCAACGTTCATTATGACATTCCAAGTTTCATCTGCAGAACACATGACCATAAAAACAGTCAGCAACAATACTATTCAGCACTGGGCTGGTGTGGTTAAGCGTGGACACTATTTTTAATAAAGTTTAGTCAAAATAACACAGGCGTCTTACTTTCTGAAATAACTTTCATTGATTCACTCATTTACAAATGACGTAGAAGGCCTTTGAAATTTTGTCATATAGTAAATTCATTTCATCAATCTTTCAAACAATGTCAACAAAGAAACGTTGTCTTTCATAATTATATTGAATCGTTGTTACTTAGTTGCTTTAAAATCTAATGAAAGTAATGAATCCTTCAGCAGACCAGCACCTGTAGTTTCTTGACCAGACATATATTCGCTATTTAACTGAAATATTTTACTGCGATTCTAGATTTTTCTCAGGTACCGAACCTTTAACCATCCAATTTGGTACTGTCTTACTTGCTTATTATTCGAAATCTTGTTCGGGCATCCATTTTGCCACAGGAACGTTGTAGTGAATAAGAGCATTTAAATGATATTGACTCCACCAAATACGACTCATCTTAAGAATATTGTGATGGAACATGATAGCCTGATGGGTTGTTTGCACACAACAGTGGTCCCTTTGTTCATTATTCCGCAGCTAATTTGACTACCGAACACGTTACTTTCAACTATGTTCATAGAGTTCTCTCTCAAAGAAGTTTCATACATCACACAGAAGAACGTAGTATGTCATAATCAAACAGACCTAACTTTGTTAGGTAGTTTCTGCATTCAGATCAAATATTTAAAGTCTAGTCTCTGCATTGCTTCCTGTCTGGATTTATTCGATATCCATATTCGCTCTCTCAAGAGAACCATATTAGAATCAAAATTAATCAGATACTCTTTGGCTCTTATTATCATTATTACACATTAGTGAATGTTACTAGGCTAACTACAACGACCGGTTGTGAAAGTTCTACATTATATACTTCATGTTCTTAATTGTAGTTCTATTATTCAGGTACCAACTTTTAAATTTTTCTGCCACGTTTTTTTAATTGTTATATTCTCTGTCAACGTACATGTTGACCTGGCTTGTACATGCGTTGCGTTATGTCATCACTATGCCATTTGAATTTAGCAAGTATTTGAACCGCTTTTAACACTTCCCATTGAACCCATTAGAGTGGTTGTTGTTATGCGTATTTGGGTTTGTTGACTGAGCTATCATATTAGTTGCCTAGAAAGATGTCCAACGTAGTTAAGATAGTAAAGTCGCCGCATCAAGATATTAGCATACTGCACTGGTATAATAACAAAACTATCACTTAGTTGTTAGTCAAACAAGCGTTTAAAACCAAAACTATCGAGCCTTCTACGGAAATGAACACTAAGTGTACAAATGTATCTGGATTGCAGTTTGGAATTTATTTACACAACTCGGATTCGTTTACGCTACAATCTGATATTTTCAAATCACTGAAAACAACAACACCTATTTCCCACTGTTTGATCACCAATCAACACTATAACTAGTTATTCATAACAGTTTATGCATATCGTCTTAAATCATCGTCATAAATCGACATCCGCGCGATATGATTGATAAAATTTATGGAACTACTAACACGAACTTTGTCAATAAGTTGACTTATAACTATCATTATATAGTAATGTTTTCTCGTGGTTATCTTAATATATTAAGGGTGTTTTCTGTGTTTCTTTGACAGCTGCTCATTTAGCAGGCATCTAGGAACGTTGTCAGCTTGACTGAAAGTTTAACGACATAATCGTTTACACGAATCAGTATTAGCAGTCAAAAACATCTTCAAACTGAAGACATCACGGTAGAACTTGCCGCAACACAGACAAAGGTCCATTCGGTTAGCATAGACACGAGTTGGGAGTTGTACTCCTGTTGGTTACAACTTATGCTCTCCTCGATAATCACATGAGCGACAGTCACTGTTTATCATCTTGTAAAGAACAATTAAGCTTAAACCGTACAACACCATGTCACTTATATTTGTGGCACGTTAGCTTTGTTGATTTCAACAGCTCACAATCACTCAAGTTCATACAAAATGATCTTCATATTATCCTGGACATGATACTTGCAACTGACCTGCATACACTATCAATCAGTATGTATAAATAAAAATATTTGGTTCATTGCACCTCAAAACACTGAATCCAGAGCATGTCTCTCACAGATTCACTCGCGTTCAACGAACTGTCGTCAGCTATCTGTCCTAAACTCATACAGTTATCAGTATTTTCACGCATTAAATGAATTTCGGTAGCATTAATAAATCTTTCCACGGCTAAGCAACAACAAGGTCGAAAAAATCTGCCCGTGACTAGATGAACAGTATTAAACTTGATTAACTAACTGGAGCACTAGTTGAGTTTCTCCCTCTCCATAGTCGTACTTATGTTCCTTTAGTTAGCCTAATAATGCAAATGCAATTTAAAACCAACACATATGAAGAGCAAACCGACACAAACATTACTTGACTTTCCAACTTGAACGAAAGACAATACTTATATAAGGAATTCCAAAATATTGATTGTTTTTCTACTCTTGAGTAAATATACCTGTAATGCCCATATGCTAAGCTACTAACAAAAAGTAATTGATTTTTCAAAAGTTCTCTACATAAAAGTCATTCCTCATTATTATAATCCAAAATTCTTTAACTCTTAGATAATCTACCCGTGTATTTTCATTTTAAGCATGTTGAGAGTTAATCCAGGCATTTTTCATTTGTGGTTCAGTTCGTAACCGCACGATTTTTGAAGATGAATCTATAATTACTGCGATTTACATTCAACGTGTAACACGTAGAGAAGGTCAGAAATGGCGTAAGCGGTAACAAGTGACCAGTATGACATGGTTGAGCCTTGCAGGCGTGGTCATCCTTGTGTAACTCATACTTTTTCACATTAAACATACCATTTTATCTTCAGGCGAAATATGTTCTTTAGACGTATCAAACAGTACATTGCTGATCGTCACAACAGAACGCGTCGGTATGGACAATGACATAACCTCCACGTAAGATCCTATGACAAACCTTAAAGTTTGGCTTTAGATCTATCGTTATAACGGCAAATACAAATGTACTAATATCGAACATGTACCGTAGGTCTACAGACCAATTAGCCAAACAAATGCTAGCACCCAATTATTCGGTCTATAATTATTCTATCAACTCAAATAATCAGTCTTAATTGCACTAAGTAGATAAATTGATAGCCGACACAGCATAGTTACGGATTCGAGAAAGTAAACATCCCTATCAATTCAGGAATATTATTTTATCTTTTCTGGATGGATAATTCAAGGTTAGATTTAACTTTATTGAAATGTTAATATGATATTAATATTATTATATTATATTACTAATTACTTGTTGACACACTGACTGTTTCTAGTTCTGGGGAGGGGTGCTTCAGTCAACCATCAGACAATGCATAGCTGTAGTCATTTCAAACAACACAATAAAAAGGGAGAAGAGAATCAATTCTGCAACCGTCACAACCATACTTTTAATTGACAACGTAGGTGTCGTTCGCACGAATCATAGACATTCGATGGAAATAAATAGGAAATGGAGGCTGAAACAAAAAGCAATTACTGACAGTTTCACCTAGAATCGAAAGATAAATGGAACATACAACTGAAGAAATCAAGAACAACAGGTTGACTTTTAAAATTAATCATCAAGTTGCTATGCCAAACTGTGTGTAGAGATTTTTCATACAAACTCAAACAAAACGTCCAGATGAAACATTACAGTGCATATGATAACACTAGTGACGTCAGGACCAGTGTTGAAGACTTACGAAACCATTTTTTCATAGATTTCGTTTTACCACCACAGTTCACTCCCCTTCTTCCTGGAAGCGTGAACCCTTCAATATGACCATTTGGAAGGCTGATATCAACGAGGCTGTCGTTAATAAACGCTCCTCTGATAGCTTACTACGTCAAGCATCATCTAATCATTATTTCCTACCTAAAAGACATAAGTGGTGAATGATGAACTTATCCAAAAATAAACATCTTTATGCTTTGTATTCATCTTCGTTTTTTAATTTTGTCATTCATCCTGGAATAGGAAGAAATAAAGTTGCGAGTGCGTACTCAGTACACTCACGCTTACGCAAGCAATCAAATCGTGAGAAGAAAAAGACAAATATGCGTTCGTATGTCACAAAGCAAAAGGGTTGATACCAAATAGCACAATAAGAATATGCTTATCTTCTTTCGATGAAAATATGTATAACCACGACCCGAAAATGGATATTTTGCAACTTTTGTTCTTATTACAATAAAAATTAAAGGCATAACTGATGATCTGTGGGACGAGAAAAAAAGAGATAGTAGAAACAAATGTGAAACTTGACTACACGCTCTAGTCGTTTAAGTCTTTGAGAGTCTGACGGTTCTTCAAGAAAAAGTCATTTTATCCCGATTATTATATACTGGTAGACTTTCGTTTCGATTTTCAATCATATGGGATTCTTTCGCTGTAGTGAGCAATGTGTGGTCGATCGTTTGGTAGAAAAATTGATGAACACAGAGTCGCCTTATGAATAAGAGGCT